AAGGCTATGCTGGGGGGGAGGAGGCGGGGGGGAGAGGGGCAGGAGGTACATGGGAAGTCTCTGTACCTTCCTCTCAATTTTGCTGTGAACCTAAAACTGTTCTAAAAAAATACATCTTTAAAGGAGACGCCAGAGCCCATCTGGCCCGAGAAACACCAATCACCTCCACGTGGATGGGAAGCCAAGGGTTTTGGACGAGTGTAGGCATGCCTGATGCAGAAAGAAAATGTTTTAAAAATTGGGATGGAAGAAGATGCTGCCAACCTTTTACTCAGCTTACGAGTCGGCCGCAAAAACGCTAACCATTCTCTGGGCGAGACCCACCTGAGGCGTGAAGTGGGGTCCTTTTGGTGACATCGTCTTTCACAAAGATGGACGCGCCCTGGTTGATCAGCGCTTCCACGCATTCCGTGTGGCCCTTGAAGGCAGCCAGGTCCAGAGCGGTGCGGCCCTTCTCGTCCCGGATGTCCAGGTCCACCAGGGACTGCAGGAGCACTTCCAGGGCCTGGTGGTGCCCGTTGTAGGCCTGAAAGGGGAAGCCAGTGACACAAGTGCTCGCTCGCCTCGGACCCCACCGCTCCCCCAGTGCGGGGTGCGGCCTCCAAGGTCACAGACAGAGGCCACCCCAAGGAGCACGTCAGACAGACACTCAGGATAAAGCAAAACACAGGAAACCAGCCCTAACCAGTTTGGCTCACTGGATAGAGCATCGGCCTGTGGACTCAAGGGTCCCAGGTTCGATTCTGGTCAAGGGCATGTACCTTGGTTGCGGGCACATCCCCAGTAAGGAGTGTGCAGGAGGCAGCTGATGGATGTTTCTCTCTCATCGATGTTTCTAACTCTCTATCCCTCTCCCTTCCTCTCTGTAAAAAATCAATAAAATATATTTTTTAAAAACCAACCAAACAAAAAAACAGGAAACCAAAGAATTAGATTGAAAAATCAAAGTGCATGAAACTCACAGCTATGTATGAATTCCTTCGTGTCCTTGAGCTTTGTCAAATAATCTGCCCCAGAGGCACCGAATGTATGAATGGATTCATGTATTTGTATCTATCGATCTACTCTCCCAATACAAACCAGCAGCTGAATGAATTAATATTTTCTTATATCTGCCAGTTCAGGCTAACCATACTGACATGATCCGATTTTTTTTTTTTCCCGGGAGATTATTCTGTTAAACCTGGAGCAAAAGGTTACCAAAAACATGTGGTCTTCATAATTCAACAGAGGTGTACAGACCTTGTTGCGGTTGAATATTTTCATTTCTAGCCACGTGACCCTGGGTGAGTTTCTTAATTTCACTTAGTTTGCTTCCTTGTCTATAAAAGGACAGCAATAAAAGGTGCCTCACAGGGAGGATTAAAAAAAAAGAGAGAGATAAAATCGCACAGGCTTTGCATCATACCGTGTACACAGTTGATGCTTCCTCCTCTCCCCTTTACTCCCTCCACTGATTACAATGAAAACAGAGACAAAAGTGTGGAAAAACGTTCTGTGTAGCAGCACCAAGTTCTGACCTATTATGAGGCCCTACGCTATGCTCAGAGGAAGAGCCTTCATACTAAAAAACAAAAGTCTGAAAGCTGATTTTTATTAAGTCTATGAGGTAAAAAGCATCTATGTACACACAAGAGAAAGAACATTGAAATAAAGAAAAGAAAAGAAAAGGTGTAGGAATCCAGAGAGCAGGGACAGGGAGGAGCAGGGAGGTGAGAGAGACGGAGGGAAGGCCAGTCCTCGGGGTCCTCAGCCCAAGTCCCCTCTTTTGTCTCCGGCACCTCCCATGTTTCTGCCGCGGTGATTACGCAGGCACCATTTATTTGAAAAAGGGCTCAGCACAGAAAAAGGTTAGTTTCCTTAATATAACAAGAGCTCTTACGAACCATTTTTAAAAACTAGAAAATGTGCAAAGGGCATAAAGAGGCAGCTCACATAAAAAGAAAAGGTCAGTGAACATATGAAAAAAAATGTATATTTTATGGTACTATTTTTTAACTACCAGATTGGCAATGATTAAGTTTGGTCATGTCCTGTATTAGTTAAGAGCGGTGGAAAAAGAAATTTTATGCTCTGTTGGTGGGACTATAGATTGGTGTGACATTTGTGGAGAGCAATTTGACAAAACCTATCAAATAAAAAAAAATACTAAGTTGCAAACACTGCATAGAGCACGACCTCATTTATACAAAAAAGCAAATATATCCAGAAATATACATGTCTTTATATGTATACTTCTAAATTTATAGCAAATTTTAGAAGATTAGGAGAGAAACTGTGAACTTCTAGAAACGAAAAGTAAAGTAATGAACATATGGACATTTTTCACCTTATCTTTTTAAAAATTATTTAAATTGTTTCCTCTGAGTATTTTTTTGAATATATTTTTATTGATTTCAGAGAGGAAGGGAGAGGGAGAGAGAGGGAAATAATCACTGATGAGAGAGAATCATCGATTGGCTGCCTCCTGCATGCCCCCCACTGGGGATCAAGCCTGCAAGCAAGGCATGTGACCCTGACTGGAACCAAACCCGGGACCCTTCAGTCCACAGGCCGATGATCTATCCAATGAACCGAACCAGCCAGGGCAGAATATGTTTTTTAAATAGCACTATTGAAGGCACTGTGCTGAGCACTCCAGCTATAGCCTCTCATTTAATCGCTGCAAGCATCCTTTTTATAGATGAACAAAACAAACAATGAAACCAGCAATGTTCACTGACTCAACAGCACTTAGCTAGTACATGACAGAGTTGGGATTTGAAACCCCAAATCTGAGACCACGAAAACCTATGCTTTCAGGCAACGTCTTATCATTTCCCCCCAGTAACTCCACTGAAGTGACTTTCAGACAAAATACTTTTGTCTCTACGTGTTCCGGCGCGGAGAGCTGATTAACAAGCATCGGATCAGAAACTACACTCTTCCCTGGAAGGCCTGGCGTCGGGGGAAGTGCCCCGAACGAGGTTTGCGCTCGGGAATGTCCAGGCCGTCGCTCCTACACTGCACGTGGCCTTTCTTGAGACGGAGAACCGAATCCCTGCACCACCTTCAGGACCTGGACTTGCTGTGCAAACCGTAACTGCAGAGGCTCCCAGGCCTTCAGTCTAAACTCAACTCTGAAGCGGCCTTTGCTCTGAGCCAGGCAGCACTGGGCATGCAGCGCCTCCTGTAACTGTCACGGCCACCCATGGTCTGAATGCTATCGTGATCCTCACTTTACCCACGAGGACACCGAAGGGCAGGGAGATGGGCCAAGCCGCCCGCGGTCACACGGCCTCGCATGGGGAGCTGGGACTCAGAGCACACGGACCCCGAGCCCCGGCTGGGGCCTTGGCATGAGCTGCCATGGAATGGGCGCCACAAGGCCAACGGCTTTGTTTCTTTAGCTTTTTATTACAGGACAATTCCAACTTATGCCAAGAAGATAGGCTGGTGCGATGGAGTCCCATGTACCCATCACCTGGTCTCTGCCACCACTGACTCAGACCGGAGGTGACTCTAAGCAGATGTGGTAACAGAAGCACTGACACCAGGGTGTAAATCCGACCGTCTCACCCAGGGCTGGAGTCTGTGGCTTATTTCAAAACTCACTTTACACTGTAATGGTTGAGGGGGTAAGAGATCAACTGAAGGACTTGTATGCATGCATATCTGGGGCCTTGGCATGAGCTGCCATGGAATGGGCGCCACAAGGCCAACGGCTTTGTTTCTTTAGCTTTTTATTACAGGACAATTCCAACTTATGCCAAGAAGATAGGCTGGTGCGATGGAGTCCCATGTACCCATCACCTGGTCTCTGCCACCACTGACTCAGACCGGAGGTGACTCTAAGCAGATGTGGTAACAGAAGCACTGACAGGGTGTAAATCCGACCGTCTCACCCAGGGCTGGAGTCTGTGGCTTATTTGAAAACTGACTTTGCATAACACTTCCTCTCACTTTACACTGTAATGGTTGAGGGGGTAAGAGATCAACTGAAGGACTTGTATGCATGCATATAAGCAAAACCAATGGACACAGACAGGGGGAGGTAGGTGAGGGCACGTGCTGGGGTGTGGGGGCGGCCAGGGAGAGGGCAATGGGGGGAAAAGGAGACTTACACAATACTTTAAAACAATAAAGAATTTAAAATAAAATAAATAAATAAATAAATAGATTGTAATGGCAGAGCCCATGAAAGAAGACTTACATAATACTTTAAAACAACAAAGAATTTAAAATAAAATAAATAAATAAATAGATTGTAATGGCAGAGCCCAGCCAACTGCATGGCTCAGTGGTTGAGCGTCAACCTGTGAACTAGGAGGTCACGGTTAGATTCCTGGTCAGGGCACATGCCTGGGTTGGGGGCTTGATCCCCAGTGTGGGGCATGCAGGAGGCAGCTGGCCAGCGATTCTCTCTCATCATTGATGTTTCTCTCTCCCTCCCTCTCTCTTCCTCTCTGAAATCAATAAAAACATTTAAATTGTAATGGCAGCAACTGATTCTGCTCGTGTGGACATCCTGACGTCACACCCGCGGAAAGGACTCCACGTGGGTAACAGCAGGATCTAGTTGCCATTTGCAAATGGTGGTCCTTCCGGGCCCATTCCTACTGCGACAAAAACAGCGAACATGTTCACGTCTGTCAGTATGACAGCCTCAGAAAATAGAACCGGCGACTTACAAAGCACATGCATATCTATGAAGCATGACAACGAACACGTTAGATTTACTAGAGAAGACACAAAGACAGACTCAGGAAGGCAGCCGGCATGGAGGCACCGCAGGGGCACCACAGGCGCATAAGCTGGGTGCTGACGTACGAACTCACCTCCTCCAAGAGGCCCTTTAAACCTCACAGCAACGACTAAACCCATTAGCATGTGTCCAAGCTAAAGAGACTTAATGTCAAAATAAAACGGAGCGAACCCTGCTGGCAGTTAGAGAAGCCTCAGAATCCCATCCCATACTTCCTTCTATACCAGGAGCTTGAAACGTCCCTTAAAGACAGGATGGTTGTAAGTCCGGGTTTACCTATAGAATCCTGGTTTTTGCCTTTAGTCTAGTTCAGCGATTTTCAACTGGTGTGCTACAAGAATTGTTAAAACATGCAATACCTGACGGCTTAGTCAGGGGCACTGGCCTCTTTTCCCTTAGATTGTCAGATAAAAAATGACAACAGTAAACACAAGAGCCATCCGGTGTGAATCAATCAAACATATACCTATTTTTTGTTGTTGTTGTTAGGCCATAACAAATACAGAGGCCAAAAATACATCTTTTGGTGTGCTGCAGAATTCTAGTAATTAGTTTGTGTGTGTCATAAGTTGGAAATCGCTGGCCCTGTTTCCAGCTCCTGCATTTTAGCATACATCTGCATTACAATACAGAACTTCAGAGACACAGTGACGTACTAAACGTCAAAGGCAACAGGAGGGGAATAATAAAGGTAACTCGGACTAGACCAGAACGTTCATTTATCTTCACACTTCAGAGCTTAGCCCTATGGAATTCTATTTGATGGTTAATGCATGATTCAGTCTTGAGACAATTATATGGCTTTTGGGGTCTATTGAAAGAGTGGACAACGAAGCTTTAAGCTCTCTGAAAGGGACTCGGTAGTCAGCAGTACGCGATGAAAACTGTCCTATTCTCCTTTCTATTCCCATCACCTTCCACCAGGCGGTCAGTAGGTAATTCCACAAATAATGTCTGAAATAACTAAAGGAGGAAGCAACTCACCTTTGCGCTTCTGCCTAGAACACTCAGGTGTCAGCCAGCCACGTAAAAGGACAAACACGCTGGTTCAAAAAGCACGTAGTGCGTTGGCTTTCAATAGACAACCCAGTGTAAGCCTTTGCCGCAGGGAACAAACATTTTAAGTCTGTTTCACAAAATTCCTTAAATCTCGGTAGGTAACACATTTTTAGAATGTGATTAATTTCTTTGAACTTTTTTGATGGGAACTGAGGACACCGAGGAGGAAGAAGTTGGGGGTCCTCACAGAATCCGCGAAACCTTGGGTCCATCTGGTCCTCTGGGCAGCGGGAGCCCTCATTTGCATAGCCCTGCTTCCTGATTTAATTTTTTCAAGTGGCTGAAAATGCCCATGAACTCCCTGGCTCGTCACCCTGGAGGCTTGGATCATTCCAGCAGGAAATGGTAACCAGGTGGGTCAGGTGTCCCGTGGCCGGCAGGTTGGAGGGCATCTGCTTCCACCTAAGAAGCGAATGCCCTGGGGTTTCATCCAGTGAATTGCCTCAGAGGCCCCTGGACAGGCAGATGGCATCCTTGGGGAGTCCTTGAAGCAAATAATATATTTTTATTTGTTTTTATTATTTTTAAAAATATTTTTCATTTTTATTGATTTCAGAGAGGAAGGGAGAGGGAGAGAGAGAGAAACATCAATGATGAGAGAGAATCATTGATCGGCTGCTTCCCACAAGCTCCCCACCCTGGCACGCACCCTCCAGTCCGCAGGCCGACGATCTATCCATTGAGCCAACCCAGCCAAGGCAAAGCAAATAATATATTTTTAAATGGTTTGCATTTCAAGGGCATGACTAAAATGTTTTAGGATTAACCCACTGCTATCACCACGGCCAAAGGCATCCTCATCCCTGCTTGCCTGGTTGTCTACCTTCTGCTTTGTCTACCTTACAGTTTCAACTCCACACACTTTTAAAACAAAAGTAATATCACTTCATCTGTCTCCTCAGACTCCTCCAAAGGGCTTTCTATTTTGCTCAAAGGAAAGGTCACAGTTCTTACAAGAACATGAGGCCCTCTGACCTACGCGGCTCCCTGCCCCCCGGCAACATGTCAGGCCTTGTCCCCTCCCCACGCCACACTCTCCCTGCCACAGTGGTTTTCTGGCTCTTCCGGTAACTTGCCAAGCGTGCCCTCACCTTTGTGCTTCTGCCTAGAACACTCAGGTGTCAGCCAGCCACGTGGGCAGCCCTGGTGTCCGTGCAGGAGGGAGGTTCTGCGCTACGTAACAGCGCCCGGCCACCTCCACCCCCGTCTCGCCGATCTCTGTGGGGCACACGCAGCACCTATCACCCTCCGTCCTGCCACACGGTCACTTGCCTGGACTGGACTGGACTGGAAAGTACCAGGACAGAGCCCGGGCTTTGCTTACGGCAACAGCTCCAGCTCCTGGGACAGTGCTTACTACAGACACAGTCGGCACATGTCAATGAAAGACCGACATCATGTTAATCATGGGGAGGATGACGCTGCTGGTTGCACACAGGCGCCAGGCACTGTTCGCACTGCTTTACGTGTTAGCTCATGTCATTCCCCCAACGGCCCTGGGATAGAGGTACTGCTGTTCTCCACATGTGGTGGGTGGAGAAACTGAGGCACAAGAGGTTAGATACTTAGCTAAGCTCATACAACAAATTAATTAACAAATTGGAAAAGGTTTGGAGATCCTTAACTAACTCACCCCTTTTAATTTACAGGAGGGAAACCAGGTCCAGGTGAGCTACTAGTGAGGAGACTGGCAGCTGGGACCCCTCTCTGCATGCACTTCCTAATTCCCAAAGCCCACCCTGTCTTTCCAGTACTGGAAACCCATAGAGCTTAGCAGAGCACCAGGCATGCAAAAAACACTGAACAGTCACTTTTTAAAAATGAATGAGAGATGACAGAATTCCTAGAAGCTGAGAAGTCTCTTCTCAGATCAGAAGGAGGCTTGGCGGTGCACTCAACCCCGCTTTCAAAGGGCATCAGGATTCCATCTGAGGTACCCTTTCCAACAGGCCTCTCTGGGGGTGGCTAGTGCTGTCTGTGAACCCTCGGTGTTGGGGTAACTTCCCCAGGCACAGCCGATGGTTGGGCAGAGATTTCAGGGAACAACCTTTAGAGCAACCGATACCAAAAGCCAACCGGTGTGAATTTTTTACATGTAAGCATCCCACAACCTATCCACATTTTCCATTCCAAATCCATCTCCAGGAACAAAGACTTATGCACATTTTAACCTGATTTCCCTGGATTCAGAGTGTGTGTGCGTATGTCAGTGGGTGTGTTGGTGGGTGTGACTGAGGGTGGGGAGGTGGGTGTCCATGGATGTGCCCGAGCCTTTGCCCAGGCACTGTTTTCGTTGTCAGCCATGTCTGCATGGCTGTGCTTTCATTGTCAGAGCAGCCTAGTTTTAGGAACGCTTTGGTTCTTCCTGTAACAAGCGAAGTTGCCCACAGAATCTCACTTACAGCCAAGTGGAGCGGACTCTTGGTAGCACCCGGATCTGATTCTTCAAAACCACCGTTGGTTCTTTCCAAAAGCTGTGGAGAGGAAGGAAAACGACAGGACGTCAGTACAGTCCACAAAAGGAGTCTGACTTCATGGGTACGAGTGGGAGCACAGGTGAGGAAGGAGGTGTCAGGAACTGAAGACATTGTGCAACTTATCAGCAATGTAAGGAACCTGACATAGTACGTCCAACAAGGACGCTGAGGGTTTCAGCCTCTAGAACAGTGGTTCCCAACCTATTTTTGGCCATGCCCCCCCTAAGCATCTCTAAAATCCTGATGTCCCCCACTCCCCGTGCGTGACAAATAATTCTTATTTTTCAAAAAGTGAACTCCTAAAAGGCCATTAACTTGGTCTAAACAAGGTTCCAAAGAACATGGCATCCATGAAAGAGAAAAATAAAAGAATGATAGGATAGTTGAAGTACTGAGGAAGAAATCATTAAGGAATTGTTAAAAAATAATAATAATATGAAGCGATATGAAAAAAAGCAAATAAAATTTCAAAACATGTAATAGAGAACTGAAATGCATAAATATGTCACAACATATATTTATACTAGAGGCCCGGTGCACGAATTCATGCACGGGTGGGGTCTGGCCAGCCCGCCCTGATAGGGGCCAATTGGGCCAGGCTGGCCGGGGGGAGGGGCTGCAGGCAGTTGGCTGGACAGCCCCGCCCCCTGGTCGAACGCCCGGTTAGGAGACAATTTGAATATTAGCCTTTTATTATATAGGAGGATATGGTATAAGAGGCCCCTAGGACCATAAGAAATGCCAAAAGTTCACTGTTAATAACTCATTCTCAAATTGCCCCCCTTAAAAATCAAATTGCCACCCTGTGGGCATGTGCCCCACATTGGGAACCACTGCTCTAGATCATCTCAGCGTTTGTATACAAGAAAGGCTTCCTGTTTTCAAAGATGCTCGGCCTCACCAACCTGGAGAAGTCATTCATGGGAAGCCCACACTTCACCCACCAGATGGTAACAATGAAAAAATTGCAATGCTTAGTTCATTCCATCATCAAACACACATTCACCGGAGAAAGGGTTGCAAAAGACATGAAGCTCCTGTTCCCATGGAGCTTCCAGTATAGAGAAGGAAAGCAGACGAGCAAATTCACAAATGAAAGGTATCTGGCGTTGATCAATGCTATGATGAAAATACAACAGTGTGACGAGATCGAGTGACCGGGAAGTGACTTTACAGCTGATGGCCAGGCAAGGCCCCTCCAAGGAGGTCTCAGTTAAAGTGAGACCTGAATGAAAAGAAGAATTACAGCAAGTGAAGGTGTGGCAGCAGAGTGTCTGGGAGGAGGGAGGAGTCGGTGCAAATGCACCAAGTGGGGGCGAACACGGTGAGTTCACAGAGCAGGAAGGATGGTGTGGGCCAAGCGGATGCGTGTGGCTCTGGGGCCAATAGCAGCGGCAGTGACTGTCAGCTGGGGTCCGGGGCCACGGGCAGCCATCCGGTGGCTGCTCTCTGCTTCCCTGTCTCCTGGTCATAGGGAAGGGGCAGCTGCCCTGGCCGCCGAGTGCCCCAGTTCAGACCTGTTTCTGGAGGAACAGCCTAGAAAGGTCCCCTCTTCTGGACCTCCCAACAAGCCCGTAAACACCCATCTTTAAAAACCAAATCTTTTTCTGCTTAAAATAGCCAGCATGGTTTCTGTGTCCTTTGACTGAATCCTGACAGATTCAAAGAGTAATGCATATTGTTATAGAAGCTGTGTTAATGGGGGTGCGAAGGGGAAATTAGACCACTCAATACACTAGAAAGCAAAACTTCCTAAAATTCACGTTCCCCGTTTTTCTCCCTGAAAATCTCAAAGTTGTCAAGGGGGAGAAACATATTTTAAAGCCATATCTGTGGAATGATACCATTTTCAATTTTTAAAAAATTGCACTGGCATGACTATATATGCAGAGAAAAAGCCTAGACATACATACCCTACAATGAATAGCACAATAACCTGAACGCGGGATTATACAGGGTTTTGACTTTCTTTTTTATTTTTCCTGACCTCTTTTTGCAGTGACTGTGTAGTTTTCATAATCAGAAAAACAATAAAGCTCTTTCTATTTGGAAAAAAAAGCGATTAACCTTCCTTTTCATTTAACAAATGATGTCCACAGACGCCCAGATAGCCCAGAATTCTTTTCCAGTCAATGCACGTGGGAAACAATGTTTGGACTCTTTGGTAGATCAAATAACAGTGTAAAACGTTCCATCTAAAAGCACACAATTTCAATATCACAAATAATACAACACAAATAGAAATAGCGGAGGTAAGAGACATTTTATGTTTGCTTTTATTCGTGTGGGAATAGAATATGGAACTTAAACAATCTAAGGTATGCTGGAATAATGAGAATAAATTTAATTTTAACTTCAAAGCAAATAACTTTAAAACCAATCTGCCTCACATAGTGGAAATAGAAGTAGCTTTAACTGCTTACAAAGGCTAGAAAACAGCTGTTCTTTTGCTTTGTTTTGCAACATTATCACCTGCAAGACTTCCTGGAATTGACCGTGCCGCCCAACCCCAGATCCGGTCCTGGAATGAACTTGTAATCAAAGGAACACAGAATCATTTCCACCTTCTCACCCACACGAAGAGGCAAGAAGACAATACACTGTTTATAGCCTCAACTCAGGCATGTCCCCGGAAGATTGGTTATGGGGCATGACATTCCACACACATACTTTGATCATACAAAAAGCGTGTGATGTTCTGTGGCAACCAGTCACCCAATATTTGCCGAGAATCCCCGTGCAGGACTCTGGGGTAGGCATCGGGATTCAGCTGTGCAGAGAACATACATGGCCGCTGAAGAGGCGGAGGAAGGGAAAGGTAGTGTGTGTGTTCAAGAATTTCATTCGCCCTCACTCACTCATTCAGTAATTATTTATTGAGCTCTCTGCTAGGCACTGTTATCAGTTCTAAAATGGTCCCTGACCACAAGAAATGTATAGTCCAGGGGGTGCCATGGACAGCTCTAACGTATCCCTCCAGCATGGCATCATGGGCTGCTACCGGCACAATAAAAATGTGCACTCATTTCGAAGATCGACTTGGCCCTCTGCCTAAACAATCTGTTAAAATGGCTGCTTTCATAAAGCCTTTATCTGGGCTACTTCATCTTACTCCTTGTCATCTCCCAAATCCCAGAATTGCTCCTTTTCTCAATTGAGCAATTATTGATGAAGCTTATGTGTAGAGTGTCGCACTGCCTGACCCCGCCTCTTCCTGCACACCCTCCTCCTATAACCTTGCATTCTTAGGTGAAACATCAGAAGGGCTGGGATTAAATCCATTTCCAGCCCCCCACTGGCAGATAATGATGGGCCCCTGACGTGGCCATTGAGAGAAAGCAGCTAGGGTGGGAGCAAGCAGACCTTGGAAGGGCCTTATTTGTGAAACACGAATTCCCTGGTTCAGTGGGGGAGGGGAGGGCACTGTGGAGGGGGAGGCTGGGAGGCTCTGTAATTCTGGGGCCTGAGGAAAGGATTGCATTTGAGACTTTAACAATTGATAGGACGTTTTCTGAATCTGGAGGGTGTTTCTTCTGGGCTCGTGGGCTCACACAGAGAACATCTCAAGGTCTTATTTGACCCTGTGATCCCACTTCTAGGAATATATCTCAAGAAACCAAAAACACCAATCAGAAAGGATATATGCACCCCTATGTTCTTCCGGTCAAGGGCACGCATAGCTAAGATTTGGAAACAGCCTAAGTGCCCATCAGTAGATGAATGGATTAGAAAACTGTGGTACATCTACACGATGGAATACTATGCTGCTGATTTAAAAGCAGCAAAGGTACTCTAGCCGGTTTGTCTCAGTGGACAGAGCGCCAGCCTGCAGACTGAAGGGTCTCGGGTTCGGTTCCGGTCAAGGGCACGTACCTGGGATGCAAGCTCCATCCCGGGCCTTGGTTGGGGCTCCTGTGGGAGGCAACCAATCAATGTGTCTCTCTCACATTGATGTTTCTCTCTCTCTCTGTCTCTCCCCTTCCTTCTACTTTCTCTAAAAATCCATGAAAAAATATCCTTGGGTGAGGATTAACAAGTGAAAAAAAAAATAAAAAAAATAAAAGGTAATAGAAGGCCAAGTTTAGGGCTTTCTCTACAAAATGAATCTGTGATAACAAAATCAAGGATAAATATAAACTCAATGGTAATCCAATGGCCGCTGGGTTAAAAAAACAACACAGTAATCTTGTCCAAAACTGTGAGGAAACATAAATATTGCACTTGAACTAGGAACCCAAGCTTTCCAAATAGTAGAGATTATGACTGGCTATTTGGAAACACGGCAAGAAAAATGCAGGGATCCCAAGAGACTTAAAGCTGATTTAAACTAGTTTTTCTATGTGCTATTTAGGAAAGCAGAAAGCAAGCGTGGCTCTGACAGTAAAAACAAGCATGTAGCCAGCGCGTCTGTGCGGTAGCTTCTCTCTCGGTGGCTATGGTTAGACTTTGACACGTAAGTGAGGAGGGAGAGGAGCTAGAAAACCAATCCAACAGTACCCCCAGGACCGTGTGAAGAAGGTGCTCTGAGAAACGGTTTAAAAATGGATTTAATGCTCGGTCGGTGTGGCTCAGTGGTTGAGCATTGACCTAGGAACCAGGAGGTCACGGTTGGATTCCTGGTCAGGGCACATGCCCAGGTTGTGGGCTTGATCCCCAGTGTGGGGGTTGCAGGAGGCAGCAAATCAATGATTCTCTCTCATCATTGATGTCTCTATCTCTCTCTCCCTCTCCTTTCCTCTCTGAAATCAATAAAAAAATTTTTTAAATGGATTTACTTCTCTTTCGGCAGTGAGCACTAGGAGGATGTGTCTACATCTTCAAGTCTGTTGAGGGTTGGGAGCAGGCCAAGGCCCCTGCAGAGTTGGCACCTCTGTAAGAAATTCTACCTCACATTCTGTGCTTGAGAAATTCAACCTTAAATGTCTGTGCTTGAGAATGAAAGGCTGTGTGGGCAACCTCAAGGCCACGCCTGAGTCAACTGTGCTGAGACCTGGCTC